GCCGCTCAGGAGGCTGAGACAGGAGCCTCGTGAGTTCAAAGCCAGCCTCAGCAAAAGCAAGGCACTAAGCCACTCAGCGAGCTCCTCTCTCTAAATAAAATACAAAATAGGGCTGGGGATGTGGCTCAGTGGCTGAGTGCCCTGGAGTTCAATCCCTGGTACCCACCCCGCCTCATACACACACACACACACACACAAAAGTGTTTCTCAATATGGAAGAAACACAGATAATTTAGCTCATATTTTTGAAAGCTGTTTCCAAAGTTTATACATTGACTTATTCAGTTGTCTCATGATGAACTTCTTCCACAATCCTGGACAGTTCCATACATTAATTCAATAGCTATCTAACCAATGCTAAATCCGAGGAACTCTTTCTTTCCTTGTTCTGAACAGAACACTGATGTAGCCAACAATTGTTTCTGGCTTTCAGTAGCCCATAAGAAGGCTGAAAGACCCAGTGAGCAGGTCTTTTTCATAAAAATTGTCATCAAACCCGGTGTAGCTGTGCATGCCTGTAATCCCAGCTGCTCAGGAGGCCAAGGTAGGAAGTTTGCAAGTTCAAAGCCAGCCTCAGAAACTTAGGGAGATCCTATCTCAAAATAAATAAGTAAATAAAATTAAAAAGGGCTGGGGATGTGTTTCAGTGATTGCCAGCCATTGGGTTAAATTTCCAGTACCAAAAAAAAAAAAAAAAAATTCAATCAAGCAGTTCACCCAAGCAGTCTCAATTTCATGATCATAGAGTAGAATTTGTAGCTCTTTGTCTTGATTTCACATTTTAATCCTGTTAAATGCTAATTTGTTGGTTTTACTTCATCATTGTATGTGTCAAGGAGATGGAATGCTTATTTTAAATTCCAACACAGTAGCTAGCATTCTCAGATTTGTAAGGGCCACAGATGAAATATGCAAATATGCTATGTGATCATTCACGCCCGGACAGAGTTTTCAGCGGCTGGTTCCAGAGGGGTCCCTCAGTTGCATTTGTCCATGAATCCACTATTATGGAGTATTATTGCTTGAGCAACTGAATGGCACCCAAATAGCCTATCATTCAGTCCACAAGTATATTCTGTTTAACAGGGAGAGCGTTAAAGTATTTTCCAAATTATACACTCCAATGAAAATATGGTGTGCCCACTCTGTCTGAGCCTCTGGTCTAAGTATTTAATAATAAATGAAAATGAGATGATTTTGATGTGATCGCTGTTAGTGAATACAAATTGTCTTATACTAACCACCACTTACTTCCTTTTGTAAGTAACAACAAGCCATCAATTTAATAATTCACTCAAGACCCTGGCTAGAGACTGACAACTGAACCACCATCAGTAATTTCCATAATATGTCATTTTTGCAATTAAAAGATAAACATTAGCCTAGAAGGTAAGTATAATGTTGTCATAGGATCTTGCAGATACACTTAGCAAGAAAGAGCAGCATAGGCAACAGAAACAGAAAAACAAAGGGTATATTAGTGAACGATGAGAAGCTCTGTGCCAGAGAATTCTTTGTTGTATAATTAGGATTACACTAAAGAGAAGGTTGTGGGTTGCTCATATGGTATCCTTACTGGGACCCTGTGGATGTTTTTGAACTTGAATCCTGATCCACAGAAATAGCAGTGGGAATCGAATGAAGGAGGCAGATACCAAAGATGTTTTCATGGAATAAAAGCAAAGATTAAATACGTCCATCAAAATATATTCACAGTATTTACCAAGTTAGAGAAGTAGAAGTTGATTCAATGAGAGATGTGGCAGAGAAGGGGTGCACCCAGATATGGACACTGTGAGTCTAAGGTGAGGAGCATGCAAAACACAGAAACTGGAAGTCTATACTGAATTACAGGAGAAATGTAGATCCTGGGAGTCCTCCCGGACCAGGTGGTGGGAGCCCTGGTAGGAAGGCAGCAGTGTCGCCCAGGTCCAGGCAGCCCAGTTCCTGGGAGCAGAGCCATGTGCCTGGTGCTCCCTGATGCTCAGCATGTGTGGTCGCACTTGATGGTATTAGAGCGTAACTTACAGGCATTTTGCAGTGCTTCTTGGTGTCTTCATTAATTCTTTTTTTCATGCCTCAGTTSTCTCTAGGACCTTTTGCCACTGTCTACACAGATTCACAGTGTAGAATGGCTGTTCCTCCTTCCATAGATTGTTCATGACTGTTTCACGCCTGAGAAAAACAAGGAATTCCCTGCACCCCCACCGCAGCCTCTACCTCTCCTACGAGGATCTCCTGTCATTGACTTATTTGATGAATTTTCTGTCATCCTTGGCATAACTTCCTTTTTCCTAATTTCTTTGATATTTTCTTTGCATTCTACCTCACAAAGTCTTCATGGTACACATGGAGCAAGACAGTCCTTTACAAAACATAATAGATCCACTTTGGCATTACCACCCTGTCCAGGGCTCAGCTGAGGTCCTATTCTTAGCTCTGCATTTTCTTTCCATTACTTTCTCCTGTGATTGACTCTAATTTTTTTTTTTTATCACCCCACTCTCTATCTTTCATCTCTGAATTTCCCTCCATGCTCTTAACTTTGCTTTTGAAGTGTTCTTGATCCTTGAGATGACCTGATAAATATCTAACCTGGTCTGTCCCTAGCTCTTGCCCTGGATTTTCTTCCTCTCTGTAGCTGCCCCCCTCTGACCAGCCTGGCCCTCCTCTTAGACTTCCTGCCAACCTCCTGGAAATTTTTTCTTGGGCCACAGGAACCACATCAGAGGCTTGGCATGGGTTAACCCCTGATTCTCTCAGTCAACGGGCAAAGTAGAAGGGAAAGACATCAGTGGAAAACATGAAACTCAGAGTCAGAAAAATTTTAGTTTATTCTCATTTCTCTCACTTACCAGCCTCTTTCTCAGTAACTTTTATTTAAACTTCAGAACCTCTGTTTTCTCATTTATAAAATGAAAGAAATGGAATCGATGCACACCAAGTCAGAGGGTGATTTGGAAAATCATGTGATAATACTTGAGAAGGAATTTTTATAATCTATAGAAAACAGGATCTTATATTTTATCATTTGTGGTGTTTTTCTCTTTTCTTTCAACTTTAGTTATAAAAGGTATGCTCCTAGGACTCTGAGTTGGAAATTGGAAGGCCATGTATCATAGAAGCATCATTGTGCATGGAAGTCAGAGGCTGCAGGGATACTGGTGCAGCAGTACTCAGTAACTCCACAAGTATTAATGGAACCCTACATTGTCCCAGCCCCTGGTGATAGAGAAGTGATTATGATCGTCTTTGCTTGAATCTGCAGGAGCTTCCATACCTAACTACAAGTGCTTTTACTAAATCTGTCCCAACATGTGATTCTTCTACTTGAAAACCTTTGTTTCAAGTACACGTGGATTTATTTCCACCTCCTTTACAACAAGCTTACAATTGCTGTCCCACTTGACATGTGCTAGAGAAACAGAACAAACATATGGATGTTCATCGTTCATTGGCCTTTTCCATTTGGACTTTGCTGCTCATATCCATCCTGTGCTTCAGATGTTTGCCAAATGACACATTCAGTGGACTGATTGCTTCATATCTTCGAAGGCTCTGCATGGACTCAAGGAAGTGTCCCTGCCTCCTGTGAGCTGAGGCAGGGCCACCCAAATGCTCCCTGTACACAGTGCCCAGTAYTAGAGAATGGATCACCACTCAGGGCCTGAGAACTTGCTGAGAAAAGGAACCTGTGTCCATCCATCTGTGTCCACCACTATCTCTATATTTAAACACGAGGGCTGCTTTCAACAAATTCAGAGAGGGATATAAGTAATCATGTATTTAGTACAAATGGCCCATGCATGGAAATGGTGGTTCATGCCCACTGCTCTGGGGATATGAAGGGACTCCCCAGAGCAGTGGGCATGAACAACCATTAGGTTATGTTAGGTACGGAAGCTCTTGCAAATTTATCTCTAGGGAGCCACTGCTTGAGAATGAGCTGTAGCACACTCAGTGGTAAAATGTGGTGGGAGAGGTTCAAGTGCAGGAATCAGGGAAGAGCATGGTTATATAGTGGATGCAAGWGGGTTGGGGGGAAATAGCAGCAGGAGACCAGATAAGACCATGRTGAGTTGTAAACTTTATCCTAAGGGCCAGAGGGAATCACCGAGTGGGAAGAGACAGTGATAATTATATTTTAGTTCTTACTTTACTATGGATCCACTAAGAATTAAGTAATTGTCTCTCAGTTTTCAGTCATTCTTTGTGATATTTATGTAAACCCATTTACTTATTACCTTTAATCTAAAATTTATTGTTTTATCAGAGGTCAATTTATTCTTATTAAAATTTTTTTTATTATTAGTTGTTCAAAACATTACATAGCTCTTGACACATCATATTTCATACATTTGATTCAAGTGGGTTATGAACTCCCATTTTTACCCTGTATACATACTGCAGAATCACATCGGTTACACATCCACKTTTTTACATAYTGCCATACTAGTGTCTGTTGTATTCCGCTGCCTTTCCTATCCTCTACTATCCCCCCTCCCCTCCCCTCCCCTCCCCTCCCATCTTCTCTCTCTACCCCATCTACTGTAGTTCATTTCTATCAGAGGTCAATTTAAAGAGGAAACTTTATATTTTGCTCTCATTCACAGAAAAAAAAATGATCACAATTTATAAACACACACACAAATGTTTTTAAAATATTCATTTAGATAACATTCCTTAGAATCCTGTAAGTTTTCTAGAATATTCTCTGGGAAAATACTAGGTTTAAAAAACCCTTTGTGGGTTGATCATGCTTGTGTTCCTCAGATGAACACATCAAGTTCTTAGGAAATGCTTCTTGTTTCACCTAAGAACCTTACAATACATTTTTTTTAACACAATGTCCTCATGGACCGTGGAATATCATTATTTCAGACTGATCATCCTCATCTCTGGTTCAAATTTATGAAGATTTTCATAGCTGCCATGGTTATTAATAAAAATTCTCTGGTTTAAGAAAGGTATTTAATTTTTTTCTTAATCTTTTGCTTTAGAATGGAAAACTCCTTTCTGCAGAAAAGAGCAGCTCAATTTTAGTGGATGACACCTATGTCCATCACCAGGGCACATACGTGTGTGATTATACTCAACCAGACCCTGCCAGCTTGAGTACCCTCAGAGACGTTGTTCAAGTGATGACCATTGGTGAGTGGGATTCTTCTTATAAGAGTTGAGATCAAAACTCTGCTTGACTAAATCAAATTATCTTCATTTGCCTTGTTGATTTTTCTTTTCCTTTTAGGAAWGCCAAAGGGATAGTCATACACTTGTAAACATTAAAGCTTTGAGTGTGGGCAAGCATCAGTTTTCCCATCAACCCAGATCCCATCCCCTGAGGAAGGCTAAGTTCTGAACCATTCTCCAAATTGGGTTATCCACTCATTTCTCCTTGATTTGCTTTGGTAATAAGTTTGAAAGTGCACTGAATGTGTTACACACAGAAGCTTTAAGCAATACCTGCATGTCTATTACCAGTTTAACGTGTGTTAAAGTTTTTCCACATCCTTAAAATCTCCTTCTTTTTCTTTAAAGAAACAAAGCATTGTAACTACAGCTTGAGGTCTATACCCTCATCCCCTGCCATGCTTTTCTTGTCCCTGTGTAGTCACTACCTTATAATTTATGTCCTTTGCATTGGTACTTATGSTGCATATGTCTGCATCTGTTAATAGGACGTTGCTTTGTGTTATAAAATGGTTTTTGTGTCATAAACACATAGTATTACACAGGGGTATCATTTATCCCCCTCATCGGCAATGAACAGATTCGCATTATTCACAAGTAATATTGAGTTTTATCAGAATTTTTTGGTTGGTATCAAGTGATGTTTCCTTTTTTTTTYCTTCTGATTTATACTTCCCTGACTAATAATAAAGTTCAATATCTCATCTTATGTTCATTGCCCTGTTGGAGTTCTTCTGTGGCTTATCTATTTTTGCACCAAATTCCCACTTAGGTCATTCCTAATAGATCTGCAAAACTCAGCACCAATAAACTATAAGATATAATTCATTTAAAGATTGACCTATGTGCCTAAAGCATAACCAAGTCAGTCACTAATGCTTTGGACCCATTGACTCAGCTCTTAGTAAAGACACCCATCCATTATACTTCCTCTACTTTCCCTGTAAGATAAAAGACACATGGARCTCACCAGGACCTAGTTCAACACTCTTGCCTATCCTTGGCCTTCCACCTACCTCTTCTTCAGATCTCTACCATTTTATTTTGTGTCAAATTTCTCCTTAGAAGAGAAGGTGGAGCCAGGTGCAGTGGCTCAGGCCTGTAATCCCAGGAATTCAGGAAGATCAAAAGTTCAAGATCAGCCTCAGCAACTTAGCAAGACCCTAAGCAACTTTGCAAAATTGCGTCTCAAAATCAAAAGGGCTGGAGAGGTGGCTCACTGGGTGAGCACCCCTGATTTCAATCCCCAGAACCAACCAACCAACCAACCAACCAACAAATAAATAGTAAAAAAGCAACAACAACAACAATGAAGAGAAGTTGGCATGTAAAGATCCTACTTGAATCACTCTCTCCTCTCAGGCCTCAAATCATTCTTCCAAATTCTCCATGGCATCATCTATTTTTCTCTTTTCCAAAGGACACCTTACAATATGTGTTGTATCTATCTTAAGCAAACTTTCTCTCATCCATCCTGTCTTCTCCATTAACTCATTTATTCTGATTTTCACTCATTCCCACACAAATACTTCTAATATGTGTCAGTCTTGGATCTAAGGATGCAAGAATGAGAACTTGGACGCTTTCTCTGACTTCCGAAAATTGTATTGTTTCGTGGGGCAGATGGATAGGAAGAAGGAGACCAGAGTACRAGGTAGTGGGAGGAGGGGAGCAGTAGGCATACAGGGGTGCTCACCAGACCCAAACTTGGGTGAGCAGAGTCCAAATGAAACCTGAGCAATGGGGTCAAAMGAGTCCAACAGAAGTGGGAGAGGCACCCTTCGAAGCAGAGGGAGAAGCACATTTGATGTGTTTTAATGAGGGTTGGAAGTGCTTTAATGAGTCTGGAATTCATCCAAGAAACAATGRAGARCCGTTGGGGGTGTWAGTGGGAGGGTGCCAGGAGCAGACATGCATTCAAAATTGATCACTATGCCTGTTGGGTAGGAAGTGGATTTTTGAGGACAGGAATGGGAGGCAGAGAGGAAAGTTCAGAGGTTGCAGTGATCAAGTCAGGAGTTGCTGCAGGGGACCCCCGTTGGCAGTGGCAGTGGGGATGGAGAAAAGTGGATGGACTCTGGAAATATTTAGAAGGCATATCTGAAAGGGTTTGGCAATTGAGAAGAAAGAGGAGAAAAAGAAGAGCCAAGGTCACAGGGGCCAAGCTTTAAGCCGGGCAGCTAGGTGTGTTTTCTGTAATCCCCTGAAGTTGGTCACAGGAGGGAAAGCAGCAGTGCTGATTCATGTTCTTAAAAGATGCCTCTGATTCCTGAGAAAACTGGGAATGGAACCACTATTTGACCCAGCTATCCCACTCCTCAGTTTATACCCAAAGKACATAAAAACAGCATACCACAGGGACGCAGCCACATCAATGATTATAGCAGCACAATTCACAATAGCTAAATTATGGAACCAACCCAGATGCCCTTCAGTTGATGAATGGATAGGGAAACTGTGGTATATACACAATGGAACATTATGCAGCATTAAAAGAGAATAAAATCATGGCATCTGCAGGTAAATGGATGAAGTTGGAGAATATCATGCTAAGTGAAGCAAGCCAATCCCAAAATATCAAAAGCCAAATGTTTTCTTCGATATGAGTACGCAGATACATAATGGCGATTGAGGGTGGGGGAGCATGGGAGGAATGGAGGAACTTTAAATAAGGCAAAGAGGAGGGAGGGAAAGGTAGGGGGCAAGGAGGTAGGAATGATGGTGGAATGAGTTAGACAGCATCACCCTAAGTACCTATATAAGACACAAATGGTGTGGAAATATTCTGCGTTCAATCAGTGTCTTAAAAAATTGTGCATTCTATGTGTAATATGAAATAAATTGCATTCTGCCATCATGTATAACAAATTAAAATAAATTATATATATATTTATATATGCCTCTGGTTTCTCTATGAAGAGACTTTGTAGAGGTAATTAAAGTGGTTAAATTTGTGAGTCAATAGAACATGATGGAACATGATTTTTTCTGTGTGTGTGTGTAAGAACATGATTCCATGTGGAACATATTTTATGTGGATAGAACATGATTTTATGCAGAAGGCAGATAAAAAAGGGAAATCAAGAACATTTTAATTCTCTGACCAGGATACATTGGTCAATGATAACATTATTTAGTAAGTATAAAAGACAGAAGAAGAAGAAAGTCTGATGAAGAAGTTAAATATTAACTTGGAAGGACTTTGAGTCATCCRAGTCATGATGAAAAATAGGTATTTGGACCCTCCAGCCTGGAGATGTTAGGGCTGAAGGCGTGGAAGTGAGACTGGTCAAGTTCACACGATGTCTAAAACCCAGGAACAGGGTGAGATCTAGGGAGGACCTAGATCTGAGCCCTGGAGGATTGCTAACTTGTAAAGAAGTGGCACAGAGGAGGACTGGCAAGGGGGTATCAGTGGAAGAGAAGAGAGAACAGCAGAAGAAGTGAACTTGGTAAGGGAGCAGAGATACCAGTTTGGGAGCCAAGATCTTTTGTCAGGAAGAGTCCTAAGTGTGGACTTTACTACCTGAAGAGAGCAGGAAGAGTGGAAGAACAGTAGGAGATCTGGGGAGAGGGGCGATAATCGGCAGAGGCACAGAGGAAGGGGAACCTACCAGGACACAGGGGACTAAAGACTGAGGTTGAGGGTGAGTAGAGAGTACAGAGACATGATATCAAGGAAGAGCGGGGTTCTAAGGGGGATGCCTGCCKTGGGCAATGCTGCCCACCAGTAGAGTACATATGTCACCCAATAGACTYAGATGAACCTCAGCCAAAGCAGCTTCAATGGAGCAATGAGAGAAGAAATGAGGCTCCATGGCAGGTGAGGGAGCGGGGGAGGAAACAGTCCCACAAAGCCCTTTCCTTCCCTTCTTGGGAAGGAAGAAGAATGCATCCGGCAGGAATARGGGGGGTGGTATTTTCCTTCCCTCTTCTTACTTGAAGTCAGAGAGACTAGGTGTAGGCAAACACTGATGAGAAGAAGCCGAGAGAGAAACAGAAGGAGAGGGAGACATGAAAGATTCAAAGTTGACATAAATCAGGAAGACGCTCTGTGAGAATCAATGTGAGGTGGAGAGCAAAGGCCGTGACGTTCCCTTCACCAGGAGACAGGACACCTTCAGGAGGAAGGCTCACAGTGGGGCCACCTTTGAAGTTCTGTGGCAGGAAGATGAAGAATACCATGACCAGCAGAAAGCCGGACTCTCGTTTGTTTTGCAACAATCCCTGAATTGAAGGAGGGAGGGAGTGAACGCAGATCTGCTTAACAGTTTCTCCCTTCCATTGGGTTTTTCAGGCAAAGGATATTAAAAGGGAATCTAGTGGTAGAAGATCAGCATGGGGCTCCATGTCTGCAATGGGTGAGCAGCATTGGGGGGGAAGGAAATGTTCCCGGGCAGACGTGGATTAGTCAAGGACTAACGTTTTGATGACACCCATATCCCAAGGTCACAATCACTTCTGTGGGCAAGTTTCACATGGAAACCTGAGTTCCTAGACTTATGGATTATGGATACGATGTGAAGAGGGAGCACTAAAACATTGAGGACCCATCGAAGGACCCCAAATCTTCAGCAAGCAGGCCTTCAGAATTCCCAATGCAAATCATGATTCTTATTTTTATGTTTTTATTTTTTTATATTCATCTTTTAGTGGAAGACACTAAATTCAAGCCAGATATTCTGGATCCCATCCAGGACACACTGGAAGTAGAACTTGGTAAGCTCATCCATGTTATCTTCTTTGAATGACACTGGGCTTSTAGAGCAGGTCTAAATGATTAGGAAAAGAAGACTAGGGTTTTGATGAAGCGGAATTGGGTATGAATCTTAACTCAGGTCTGCCTAGTTCTGTGACCCTGCACAGTTACTAAATCCTCCTAAGATCCAGTMCCTATATCTGCTAATAGGCATCATAAAATTGATTTTACAGGGCTTTATTGAGTATTATGGAGCAATGGATGATAAACGAATGGTGCATTGGACATGATCAATAGATTTTAGATTCTCCTAGGAAGAAGAGGTTATACATGTGGGTTTTRTTTATTAATATACCACCTTGAGTGGCATTACCTTTATAAATATGATATTTGGTCTTTACAAGAAATATAGTGGAATACTACAAACCCCATGCAAACATATTACAAAATAGTGTAATTTGCGGGGTACAGGGGAAATGGACATCCCCCGTTTTGTCTCCTTTCACTTTGTCAAGTTCAATAACACTTATGTCTTTTCCTAAAGCCAAAGAATGGATACGTTTAACACCAAATGGTTTCTTTTTCAATAAAATATGTGCTCTCTTAAATACTGATATAAGACTTGTTATTGTAGAAATGTAAAAAGAGATACTATGGYATAAGATCACTGGGTGGCCATAGCAGCATGTCCTGAAGACAGAAATAGTGACAGCAATACAGGAAACATTATGAGAATGGAAGAAAGAAGAAAGAAAAAAGATTAATTCCAAATATGTAGTCAAGTTACATACGGCATGAGTGAGCTTTAAAGCATTAYCGGTAGGAAAACTTTAACGTGCAAAAATTACTTTTCAATTGGAGGCCCTGAACATTTCCTGGTTAAATATTGTTTGAGGCAGAGCGTTTCTGGATATTTCTTTTGGAGATGGTAGGTAGAAAGAGGATAGTCTAATAATAAGAATGCCAATCCATGGTACCTTATTCATAAAACACAGCTGAGTATCTAAATAATTTCTTCTTTAAATTACATGCTATAGGAACCTCATGAATGTCATTTAATATGCAAACATTGGTTAGTAAAATATTCTTTACTGATGCACATTGTATTCTATAGTGGTGTCAAAGACCATGCTGGTCWCTAAAACTCTCATTTCCCTGATGTCTTGCTCAAACCACACCTGACTGTGTTAATCTTCATGTTGAGAACAGACAGTAAAATTTTTGAGACATGAGTGTTGCCCATGAGAGAYGAACACACAAGGACCATTGTGTTTCTTAACGAGATGTGTCAACACTTGGTTATTTCTGGCATACAAGCTTTCTTCTGCCAGTTGGGCAGAAATTGTCTCCTGGCCACGTCTTCCTCCCCATCAGGGGACAAAGCTTTCTCATATTCTTCCTTCCTATTTTCTTGGACTTGTTTATTGTCAGGAAAGTCTTTAACTCTTCGCTGCAAAGCACGATTTGGCTTCGAAAAGCTCTTTAGACCCGTGATAAAGTGGTACATCCAAGATGCTGACCAGGAGTGGGAAGCCCCAAATTCTGAGAAGAAAAGGTAAGGAAAAGAGATAAGTCTTTGCAACCCAGACTAGATGCTTTCACCCTTAGAAATTGCTAAAATGTGCACAGCTGATTGTATTTAGTAGGCTAGACACTATTACCAACTAGTGGAGAAAACAAAAACACAGAAATGCATTTGTATGCTCATTTTAGACCTGAGGCCTTGCAGATTCTGGTGGGGACATAGGATGAACCAGTCATGCATAACAACATTTTGGTCAGTGAAAGATCCGTATGTGATTGGTACCATTGAGTGACATCAGAGCCACYTTAGCTTGTGTTAAGTACACTCTGATGCTCCTGCAATGATAGAATCAACTCAGCTTGTCATTTAGTGATGCATGAGTGTGTGACAGTGTTTTGCTTTTGTTCTGGTTTTGCTTTTGGTGCTGGAGAGCAAATCCAGGGCCATCTAGCATGCTGAGCAAGCATGCTACCACTGAGCAACACCCTAGACCTTCAAGTGGTTTTAAGGTTTACTTTAGTGCAACAGTTTGATGTGGCTGCCTTAAACATCAAGGTATCCAGCAGACAGACATGCTGAGTCAGGTTGCTGGAGGAGAAGTAGCACATCCAACCAGTGCTATGCATTCAATTTGCCATGAGTTCAGGGATCCAAATTTGCAGAATCATTAACAATTGGGAAAGTATCCAGAGGAAATAGCCCCATAATGCAGAGCTTGGCAAAAACAGCACACAAGATATTTGAAGCCATTTAACCTGAAAGAGAAAACTCAGGGGTGGGTTATCTGTCTTGAAATRCCTTCTTGTGAAGTTGGACTGTGCTCTCTGGAGCACAAAACCCACATCAGTGGATGGAATTTACTGCTGAGAGAGTTTAACCAATAGAAAGGGAAATTTAGACATTCAAAGACACTCAGTGCTTCAAAAGCCTACRGTCTTTTGAAGAGTCAAAGGGCTTGAATAAAGCCATGTTCAATTAGCTATGTTGCTAGATGATGTGCCCCTCATTTTCCCCAAATCTTACCCAAAGTAAGAATCTATGTATTAGTGTTTTCTTCTAATTTTTAAAACATCTTAGTGACCAAATGTGATATCACTTTGAAAAGCACACATCATCACAAAATGTTAAGAATAGATTTTGGTAAGAGAAATAGAATTTAGCCAGAATTTCTTAGATCAGAGGAATCATTGGGTCCCAACTTAGGCTGACATTGCATTAGAGATCAGATTTGCCTCGGATTTGAATCTGTTTTCCAGCTAGTGGCAATGTGCACCTGACCCCCTGTGAGCCTCCCTCACCCCATCTGTGACCTGTGGATAATAACCTCGCTTTGCAAGGTCACTGTCAGGGGCAGATGCAGGAGAGGTGACGTGTTCATCACAGGCTATGGCAGGCAGGAAGTGCTCAGTGATGAAGAGGTGGTTTAGGAGGCTCACAGCAATGCCGTCTTAAACACCATCGGCATCAAAAAGACTTCATAAGGTGAAGACAAGAGTGAAGACTGGTGATTTTAGAGAATCCAGATTGTGAATAAATGCCTGAACTCACAGCTTCCGTGATGGGGAAGCAGGGCATGGATCAGCGGTAGGACCTGTGGCTCCTCATCTACCTGCTGGGCCTGTCTATCCCTGGCCAAGTTAGGAGGCTCATAGTATTACTTTTAATGTTATCCTTAAATTATTGCTATTATCTGTCCTCAAGGGAAATTCTTGGAGTAAGGAAGGTGAGAGGAGGGCCCCCGTGAGTTATATCCTAGTGCAAATGTACAGCAGAACCAGTAAGTCACCCAAAGAATGGGCCTTCTCTGTCCATCTCCTGTTCTTCTGGTATCTTCAATTATTGACAYGACCCTCCTCTTGAAAGCCAAACTGTTGACTGCTGACAAGAGTCACACACGCTGTCACAGTATGTCGATCTGTGTCACTGATCTGATATGGAATTTTCCCTTGTTTTCTAGTACACAATCCACTGTTAAGGATGAAGTTATTGAATGTGTTTTCTCCTTGGAAAAACTCACTCAGAGAGATCTTAGTAGAAAGTATGTTTGCTTTGCTCAGAACTCGATTGGGAATGTCACCTGGACTGTCCGCCTGAGGGAAAAGAAAGGAGGTAAGCCCAGAAGGTAGACCCCACTACAGGCAGCTGCTTTTCTTTGTGGGGGTAGGTATTTTCTTATCGAAGAGTGATAATAGGATACTAATGAACATTTCTTAGATGCCAGACACTATTTTAAGCACTTTGCTGTGTTACCCATTTAATAGCCTTGGCCAAAGCCGGGACACTAGTAAGCTGCAATACTCATTGATTCCGGGTGTGCCCTATGTGGTGGGCAAGGTGCTAAGACCGAATTCCCTTTTCTGCTTGCCTTGCTTGGCTTCCAGAGAACGCCCTGGATTCATGTTCTGATGGAAGGAGAACAGAGAAGGGGAAGAGTCATTTTTCTCAGGGTTCAGAATGTTATTTGTGTATCAGAGGTGGTAGCCATGTAAGCAGCTAGAGTAGAAATTCCAGGCAAGAAGCAGCAAAATGGTTCCATTCTCAGATTTTCCTGTTATCCGGGAGAGATATGGCTTCCTTTTTTTTTTTTTTTTCCCTGAAAAATATTGTTGTGCAAGACACCTTTCAGGTTAAATCAGCATACTACAGCAATGCAGCCACATTGATGTTTATAACACCTCAATTCACAATAGCCAGACTTTGGAATCAACCTAGGTGTCCTACAACAGATGAACGGATAAAGAAAATGTGGTGTATATACACAATGGAATATTATCCACCCATAAATAAGAATTAAGATATGGCATTTGCTGGTAAATGGATGGAACTGGAGACTACCATGTTAAGTGAAATAAGCCAATCCCCAAACACCAAAGGAGGAATGTTCTCTCTGAAATGTTGATGCTAATCCACAACCAGCGAGCGTGGGGAGGGGAAGAATAGAAGTTCACTGGATTAGACAAAGGGGAATGAAGGGAAGGGAGGAGGTAGGAACAAATCAGATGTGACTTTCCTATTATTATAGACAATACACATCCAGTGTAACTTCACACCATGTGCAACCACAAGAATGGGATCCTAATTAGAATAAGTTGTACTCCATGTTTGTGTGATATGTCAAAATACATGCTGCTGTTACTTGTATCTTTCTTTGAGGAATGTAGGTAAGTTTTTATTTATACCTTTTATGATATATCATTCAAATTTCTTGCATTATCTTAAAGTACTAATACAGTAGGGTTTTTTTGTCATATATATATAACAAAAGAGGTTCCTGGGGTGGAGATTCCTGTGACAATAGGGTATACTGTGATCATTAGGATAACACATTATGCTTTCAACTGAAAACTCGGAATTTTGGAAAATTTATATCTGACACTTAGATCTCAACAGCTATACAATTAAGATTTTTTGGGGATGAATTTGGTAGTAATATTCACACATGTGACTTTAAACATATTCTACAATAAAATATATATCAAGTTTTAGAAGAACCAAATAGCAGTGAAGAAATAGTTTCCAAGTGACAAAGTGTCATGGTGTAAAACCCATTAAGAGTGAAAGATGCAACAATGTTTTTTAATGTAACTGAGGATGAAGAATTAATTGATAATAGGTTCAGATTTCATGTAGCAACTAACTTTTAAGAAATGATTCCTGAGGTTTTTAAAATTTTTTATGTGTTCTAATTAATTATAATTAGAATAGAATGTGCTTTGATACGTCATACATAAGTAGAATATAATTTCTCATTCTTCTGGTTGTATGAGGTAGAATCCCACTGGTCATGCAGTGTGTATATATATATATATTTTTAAAAATTTTATATATATATATATATATATATATATATATATATATATATATCTTAAAAGAACAATTTTTAAAAAAAGAAGTTCCAGGTAAGGAAGAGTTTCAAATTTCTTTAAGAAGATGCCCAGAGGTGTAGTTGATGTCCTTCATTCATTCAGTTAATTGATGACTAGTACCAGCAAGTTCAGAGGCGTGTAAGACAAAGTTCATTCCTAGCCAGTGGTGAGTGCTGTTTAATCATGGCTTCTCTCCAGAGTGCTCTATCCATTGTCTGTGTCAGGAACAGGGGATGTGCCTGGTCTCAGGAAGTTTAGATTTTCGTTGACATGACAGTATGGGAGTGTCCTTGACCATGTGCAATCAGGAGGATGCCAGTGGTTGTGTGGGAGTTTGAGAATGAAGGAGTGAATTGAACGGCTGTGAGAAGCTTCCCAGGYCCTCCCCATCAGGATCTGCCCATTCCCTGGGCTCTCTAGAGTTTACTGTCRATGGCTCCCTCGGGACGTGATTTTCGAGAGTCCCAGGTTCAGGGGAGATGCTGTTTCCAGTGGCAGGAAACGGTGCTGGGCARGCCCTGGGTGTGGGCTGCGGGTGGCCTTGGCCCAGGAGCGCTGCTGCTGCTGCTCACGGCTCCCCTGTTCCCCCAGTGGTGTTCCTGTACATCCTGCTGGGCACCGTCATGACCCTGGTGGGCACACTGGCAGCAGGCGCCCTCATCTACATGTACTGGATTGAAATGGTGTTGCTGTGCCGAAGCTGCCGGAGCAAGGACGAGACTCTCAGGGGTAAGCTGGCCCCAACCCGCCACCTGACATTCCCTGGGAAACAAGTTGGACCAAGACCTTAGAAAAGTGCCACCACTACCCATTGGATCTGTGCCCTCGGAGTTATCTTAGGGAACAATTCCAGATGCCTCCTGCCAGCCGGTACAGCGCACGAGGGACACTCTGTGGCTTCTTCCAGATCTGGTGGCCTCACACCAGGGAAGGCTGCCCCTGGAGTCTCRTAGATGATGCTATTGTGGGGTTTGATAATCCTCTCTCTGCTAACCAACCTAAGACAATGGGGCAAATAACATCTTTGTGCCTCGGTTTCTTCATCTATAAAATAGAACAGCAATCGCACCCATCAAAAAGGATGCTGGGAGAGCCTGTGAAGGCACAGCACGCATTTACAGTGACACCTTCACAAATAGGAAACCTCAGCACCTGCTAGCAATTTTTTTCTAGCAGGCAGAGCGTTATACATGCCTGTTATGTGTATTAGCTACGTTAATTATCTTATGAGCCAAGCAGGGAAAGATAAAATCTGTGTCCAAAATTGAACCTAGAGATGTAGAGATCTATAAGCTGAAAGTGTTTTTGAGATGTATTTTTAAAAAATCATCTTTTTGAATGGGGCAAATTATTTAATCAATGGCTTAATTGTTTCCTTAGGCAATTTCATACTGTTTTGCTAAAGTTTTACCTGGCTTATGATTCAAGAGCTTGTGTGTAAGAGTCACTCAACGGTGAAACTTTTCAACGTGTTTTTTCTCCTTCTGGTTTGCAAAGACCACTTTTTAAGTAATCAGATCTGGAGGCAGAGCGGGTTTTTCAAGCACAGTGATGCAGCGCCCTCTGCTGGCTAACATGATATTTTCAACAAAATGAATACTCAGAAGCTAAGGCCGAATATTCAAAACGTACTCATAAAACATAACATTTGTGGAGGATCTAGGGGGTCAGCTAACACTGCACTCTCTAATTTTATTAATATGAAATTTAGTTTCCATATTATATGAAAATCCTTGTGTGCTGATGTTTCACCATGGATATAGAAGAAATAGAGGCGATTATGGTGCACGACACCTTGAAACTGTGTAGCGCCTACTGGCCAGCTACGCCTCAGAGCATCCTCCTTCCCACCCGGACCACGAGGTGCATGACAGATTAGCTTCCTGGACCTTGGCTCTTTGGCATTCCCCTCGMTTGACTCTTGGCCTTTCCTTTTCTGAGGCCTCTTAGATTCACATTGAGCAGGTAGGTATTCCGCCAAACCACGAAGTTGATCTACCAACTATTTTTGTAGCAATGCTGCTTGACAGGAGTTGTGAAGTGCTGGAATATAARCCAGTTGTGTCCCATTCCAAAGCCGGGTGAGTTAGCTTTTGGAATTTTCTACTTCATTCAGTTAGTTCTTCAGTATATATCAGCAATCAATGTGCATTTGTAATAACATAGTCAACAGAGGCAGAATAGACCTCTAAAATATCCTGAGACAAGTTCTATYAGTTTACTTTCCCATTTAGAAGAGAGTGGAATGGACACAAACCAGACACGAAGCACATCAGATGTGTTATCTCCTGCAATACGTATCAGCCTATGGAGAGTCATAGCACCCTCTTTTTGCATATGAAGATTTAAATATAAGTACAGTCATGCATCATTTTACGACAGATTCACATTCACAAATGCACCCCTAGGCAATTTTGTCACTGTACAAACATTGTAGAGTGTGCTTACATAAATGTAGAGGATATATCCTACTACACACCTCAGGTGTCAGTTACATGGTGTGTGTGTGTGTGTGTGTGTGTGTGTGTGTGTGTCGTAGCCTGTGATTTCAAGGGTCATGGTGAACAAAACAACATGAGATTAATCAAGCACAAGAGAAAATAATGTGATCAAGAGACCAGGCAAACAGCAGGTCTGTGTGTCTGCTGCTCCTGTAACACGACATGGTTTTTTATCGTCAGTTTTTTACAAGTAGAAGTAGCACTCTGAAATAACTACAAAAGTATAGTACATTAACACATCAACCAGTGGCATGATTGTGTACCGAGTGTGACTTACTGTACATTACTGTATGGGCTGCACTTTGACATATCAGGCAAGACAGCAGGTTTGTGAACACCACCATCGCCACAGACACACAAGTAATGCTCTGCCCCATGATGCTGTGGTGGCTGCAACATGGCAGGTGATGGGAGTTCTTCAGCTTTAATTTTATGTGTATGCAGTTTGTCACTGAAGTGTCCTTGGGGGAGTGCATGGCTGTTAATGTGACATGAACTCTCTAAGGGGCTATTTTTTTCTCCTAGGGAAGCAATGGGCTGGGTCTTGGCAGTGTCTCCCTGACTGGATATTATCACGCTGTGATGAACCAGACTTCTCTTTGATGTGTACCTAGCGAGACAGAGACAGTGCAGAGGCAGAGAAAGCTCATGGCCCTCCTGAGTGCATGAGATTTAATCACAGGAGGCCCCAGCTGTTTGATCTGCCCCCAGCCCAGTAGTGCTTCATGAATTAGAATTCAATGGGGSCTGGACAATCCCTACCACTCAACAGTGTGATTTTGAAATGGATGCAGCTGCTGGGTCTTATGATTAGTAGTATTTCTTAAAATCCATTTTGTAAGGATTTCCCGTTTGCTCCAAGCGTCTGTTTGTGGTACCCTGATGGTAAAACAATGTCAACGGCTCATGTTTTCCATTGTTTCTCTTCCTCAGATAAAAAGGAATTCGATGCTTTCGTATCCTATGCMAAATGGAGCTCTTTGGAGAGYGAAGCCTCTTCAGCTCCGAGTGAGGAGCAGTTGGCCTTGAATCTGTTTCCTGAAGTTCTGGAAAACAAATATGGATACACTTTGTGCTTGCTTGAGAGAGATGTGGTCCCCGGAGGAGGTATGTCTGGGGGCAGGGGGAACCACCTTTGGGAATAAAGGGCACTTCAATACAACTCTGAAGTTTTTGGGTTTTTTTTGCTGTCATTCTTTCTTTGGGACATATCTTCTGGCTGGTTTCATGGACCTAGATCATCTTGGGTAACAATCTGGAAGAACGTGTTCCAGAGACATGCTCCCTCATCAAAAGAATCCATTTTCAGAAGGATACTAGGGAGGCTACCCAGGACAAAGRTGTCTTTCCTGGATCCTTACTGGGACGTCGTCTCTGTCATTGCAAACAGGAGGTCCTCCTGATTTCTGGAACTCTACCCTCAGGAGATGTTCCAGCATCCTGCCTCACTCATCTCCTGGGACGTCCCAAGACCCCGGGTAGCCCATAAGCTTTGTTTCTAGAGGAAGTGACAGTTTGGGCAAACAGAATGCAAGGAGAGAGGTATGCAGTGGAGAGTCACTAGAGAGTAGAGTATATTTTGGGAAGCCAATAGAGATGACGTAATAAAAGTGCCAGAGTGGGCCATGTCTCCCTTCCCTGTAGGGAGCTCCCTGGATGGATCAGTGAGGTTACTGTGACTCAAGGTTTAACTTTATCCATGGCAAATCATTGAACTCTTTATTTCTAGTGTATGCAGAAGACATTGTGAGCATTATTAAGAAGAGCAGAAGAGGAATATTTATCTTGAGCCCCAACTATGTCAATGGACCCAGTGTCTTTGAACTCCAAGCAGCGGTGAATCTTGCCTTGGATGATCAAACGCTGAAACTAATTTTAATTAAGTTCCGTTCCTTCCAAGAGCCAGAGTCTCTACCTCATCTTGTGAAAAAGGCTCTCAGGGTCTTACCCACAGTCACTTGGAAAGGCTTCAAATCAGTTCGTCCCACTTCCAGATTCTGGACACAGATGCGCTACCACATGCCTGCTAAAAACTCCAGAAGATTCAAATAGAACCAGCTCAGAATGAGCTCGAGGATTCCCCYCMCMCMCWCACTGGAAAAGATTCCTCAGAACAGAAACCACTGGGAGGAGCTCCAGCCTAGGGATGGCAAACCCAGCCAGAAACCCCTTCCTCGCCAGCCTCGGGGAGGAGAGCTGTGCGTGGGCAGAAGGTCAACGGAGACTCACTAACGGAAAGTTGAGTGTCTTTCGGCCGGCCCCAAGCAACCTGGACAGGCACTGGAGGGAGACGGAGTCTGTGGTCTAGAGCCGTTGCTCCTCTGGACTGGACAGGGGGAGAGTGATCTGTCACGCACACCCACAAGGTTTTCCGACACTTGTGAGCTGAATCAGCAGATGCCGCTGCTTCTGCTCTGTGGCTAGGGACTGTCCTCGCTGCTGTGGACCTATGAATTCATGTCATTTGCAATCAAATAAATATATTTATTTATTAGACATGAGTAATTTAATATCTGCCTAAAGCCTTTTCTGTTCCACGTTCTCCCATCRAGTCTGCAGCACAGGAAGTGAAAATAAAGAGATTAAAGGGACACAGGGTGGGCAGGGGTATAGTCCGTCTCTGCTGGGAGCTGGTGGGAAATGACCCCCCTGAGCATGTGGACTACAGGTGCATGTAGGTTTGCAATGGGATGACTCAGTGTGTCGTAAGTCACACACGCGTTTAGTGTACTGAATCTGTTGAACTGCCTAGCTGAGTAGGACAGCACACGGTGGCACATTGGTCAGTTCCCTTGGTGACTTTGTGGCTGGCCCGGGAGCTACACTCACTCCTGTTTCCCCACATCTCAGGAGAGGGTCAGACTGCATATCGCTGGCCCCCAAGAAGACCCAAATTCAAAATTCAAAGTTTAACTACTACAGAATAGATATCGCTATTGCAACTTCAGAAAGAAAAAAAAATCACACTGACTGTGGAGGAAGGAGTCCCTTCCTTTGGGCTGACACAGTCTATGTCAAGATACAGGCTTGGGGACAGAGTGGTGCTAACTTGAGTTCCTCTGTGTCTCATTGACCAGAGACCCTTAGACTGAGCTTCAAGTTTATGACAGTCCCCTGGGCCACTGGAAGCAGGGATCAACTGGGCCAAGATGACTCCCCAGTGAGGAGACGAGGAGTACACTAACACTTGTGTGCAAACTAGAAAGGCAGGGACAGGAGTCCGTGGTCACACCCAGCCTGGGAAATTAGCGGACACACCATGTGAAAGTCAGGAGAATGGAGCTGAGACAGAGCTTCAGTGTGAGTTACTGCTGAGGTCCACAGCCTTCTGTATATCCTGACCTCGTGGTAACCRAGTGATATGCTGAGGGCCAAGTCCTTCTTCCTGATGGACAAGGCAAGTTCGTTTTCTTTACAAGAGTTCAAACTGCAGTTAAAATAATGTTCTGGTCACATACAGACGTAAAACCATCTCGTGCTGTCTTTCTTGATGGAGGGAATGATTCATCGTTTGGATAATTAAGCCAAACAGCTCCTGACTGATTCACATGGAGTGTGTCACATCCACTGGTCTGAATGGGGTCCAAGTGCAGAGCGGGTAAGACCTTGTCATCTGGCCACTTGGTGCCTGTGTGAGATGTTTTTCTGATCTTTCTTTACGGAGGCACCCACATCATAAAAACCACTGTGGCTCTGGCACCAAGCAACATCCTTGTTGGGAATTTCAGTGATAAAGTTAAAGAGGAGAAAAAGGGTATAAATTATGCCTGGAGGAAGTCTCTTGTGGGAAGGATCATTGTGGGGTCTCAGCAGGGAGGAACCCACATTGTCATGGGCCTTGCTGTGCCATCCTCTCTCTGAGACCTCAGACTTAGAATGCTTTCTTTTTTGGCTGGTGCATCCAAATTTATGTCTTAAAAAAATATGAAAAAAAGTAAGAAAAAGAAAAGATTCCCCTGTGACGAAGTTCCCAATGGTCCAGAGTTCTGTCTTCGGCGTTAYGGAAAAAGCCTCAGACTTGTACCTACACAAAAAGAAAAATCCCTAACTCTGATATTTATACAATGCACTCTTTCTAGGTTAGTAAGTATACTGAAGATGAAAAAAAAAATTAGCATTTAGGACAAAAGGTTATTTATATTTCCTATATGCAAACCAACCAAAACAAAGGAAACATCCAAAATACATTTTCTACACATAACAGACTATAATCCAGCAGCTGGACTCAGTGGAATACAATCAGAAAAGAGTATTATTTTCTCACCACATCTTCTAAATAAGAGGCCCCAGGTCTGGTTCCTGTTATCCCAGGGTAATTGTCCAGAGTGCTTTCTTTCACTCTGAAAATGTGTCCTAGTTAGGAGGGTGAGGGCCCTACCTCCAACACAGCCGAGGTCACTCCTTACTGACTCTGTGACACCTTAGGTGATCTTCACCGCCTTTCTGGTCTCTGTTGGCCGTGAATACTGATATTTAACATTTATATTATTTCCGGGTGGTCATTTTGGGCAAGATGGAGTAAATACCTGCCACTCTGATCCTCTCACTTTAGCCATAAAACCCAGGAGAATGCAGAGGAAAAACAATTTGAGGATTCCAAAGAGTCGATAGAAGCAAACAGACTGAAGAAGACAAGAATTCAAAGTTTTATGGTTTTATTTCTACCTACTATCTCCGGACTTAACTTAGTCTGAAGCCCACAGGGGGTGTTAAGGATGATAGAGAGAGCTGAAGAAGACCTCTAGGCCTGGCTAGAAGACTGGTCAGGGTTTCCTGGTCTTTCTTCCTTTGTATCACTCCCGCCCCCCTGTTCTTTCATTGCCCAGATGCTAGGTCCCGCTGTGGTGGCAGCAACAGGACTAATACAAGACAGGAAGACGGGCCCTCAAGAGCCTACATCTCTCAGGCAGGGAAAGGCCCACGGCCCACTTTGGTACAAGGTGCTGTGGTCCCCAGAGGGTGTGGCAAACTATATTGAATTTTGTTTTCTCTCTATCCCTGTGCCATTTGACTGTGCATCCCAAAGCAGGGTAAGGAAGCCCCAGCACTCTGGCCCAAGAGCTGAGGGGAGATCTACGCCACGAGAAAGCACCGTGGAGACTACAGACAGAGAAGTGCAGTACAGTGAACCCAGAAAGCTGTTCAAGATCTCCTAGCTCATCACCAAGCTGCACCTAGGTGCATGTGACCCTAAATGGAATATCATCAACCTCCAGAATTGAATTATGGGATTGACCACTTCCTGAGCTCCAGATGAGCCATGGAAAGGTGTGTGCAGAGCGGGTGGGTCCAAACAGAGCCGAAAGGCAATAGAATTGAACTGTCTCTGTACTCAGAGGAGGCTTGAAGTTGAGGGGCCTTTTCCAACTGGGTCAATTGTCTGCTAAAATAAAAATGGTTCTACAAAGGTTGGTGTTGGGAAACATTGAAAACATGATATGGTCTGTTGAAAGTTAAAAAACATTAATATTTTCTGGGAGGATATTTAATGTAGGTAGATGTAGTATATAAGATAGCTACAAAATGAAGGAGGGAAGATGGGAGACTATATGTTGTTAAGATATCTAGATATCACATTTTTATAAAGAGACAAGTTTTCCAAAAGGAAAACTTGATGATCTTAAAATCCATAGGCACCTAACAACAGTATTTCAAAATACATGAAATAAAAATTGACAGGGTTGAAATTCCACAATTATAAYTGGGACTTCATGCAACATTCTTCTCTCAAATATTGATTAAACTAGTAAACAAAAATTCAGCAGGTATGTGGAAGAGCAGAACACCACCACTTAATTGGTGTTTTCCTGGATCAACTTGACAATGACAGAACTCTTCTACCCAACACCAGCAGAATATACTTTCTTTTAATGAACACATAGAAAAGATGCTAAGACAGGCCATCTCCTAAACTGTAAAACAAACAAAACAAGAGTTAAAAACTTGAAATTATACAAAATATGTCTTCGATTCATAAAGGAGTTAAATTAGAAATTATTAACAGAAAATGACAAGAAAATCTTAAAACACTAGGAAACTGAACAATGCATTTCTAAATCAATCCACAGATAAAAGAGGAAGTCTCAAGAGAAATCAATTAAACTTTTCAAATAAAGATGAAAATATGATGTATCAAAGTTTGCCAGATGAGACTGAATGTAAAACATGCTTAGAGGGGGAAGGTATATTATTAAGTATGGGCTTATATTAGAAAAGGAAAATACCTCAAACTTGATAACCTAAACTTCCACCATAGAATGTAAAAAAAATGGAAATGATACAGGTAAGAGTAGAAATTAATTCCACTGAAACCAGAAAACCATAGAGAAAATCAATAGCACCAAAGCTATTTTTTGTTTGTTTTTACATTACGGAGGGTTAAACCCAGACCCTTATATACACCRGGCTAGCACTCTATCACTGAGCTACATTCCCAATACCAGAAAGATGGTTTTTGAAAAGATCAGTAAAAATGATAACCACTAGCCAGACTGACCAAGATTAAAAAAGAAAAGAAAAGAAAAAAATCTTGGCTGGGGGCAGGGGTGGGGAACGGGACACAAAGGATCAGTATCGGGAGTGAAAGAAGCAATCTCACTTCAGACGCCACACATGTTAAAAGCACGATAAAACCACTATAGATACCGTATAGACAGAGTTTAAATGAAATCAACAAATTCCCCAAAGCTATAAAAATTCCCACAAGCTATAAAGACTCAGCCAAGCTGAAACAGATAACCTAGATTAGCCAAAACTATTACAGAAATGAAATTCCTACTTTAAAGTTTCCCGAACAGAAATCTCCAGACCTCAATGGTTTACTGCCTAATTCTACCATTTAAGGAAAGAAAAAGGAAAAAAAAACCCCACAATTTCTATAAAACTTCTTCCAGAAAACAGAAAAGGAAAGAAAGTTTTCAAAGCTCATTTTTCTAATACCAAAACCAAACAATGAAAGTATAAGAGAACGACAAATCATAATTCTTCACGAACATTGACAAAAATATTCAAGAAAACTGCAGCTAAAAATACGCCCTAACTAAGTGGAGTTT